CTCAACTAAAAAATCATCACACTTCATCTTGTTAGTAATAAGTGGAACATTTATTTGTGAAATACATTCAATATTGTGTTTTAAAACGTAAAAACCGACTACACTTTAGTATCCTGACCATCAACAGTTATTAAGGACATTCACATGTAGCTGCTGAGCTAATCACATTATTCTTTAAGATGCTGTTGCCGTGCAGCGGCTTGTCTCTCCATGAAGGTCCTTCGTCTTCGTTGTCCTCACCCTCGGGTTTCTGCTGCCTGAGGTATCTCAGGCTTCCTGATCTTCCTGATGTACTCCTGGATCTTTGCCGTTTCATCCTGGACAGTGGTCTTGACACTCACTAGCCCTCGGGCTCCCTCGCTACGCTTGGTGTACAGTCTCAGGGTGCTGGATTTGGGGTGAAACCCTCCATGTATTGTGAGGAGATTTCTTGTCTTGATGTCAGTGGCCTCTATCTCCTCCTTTGGCCAGTTTATTATACCAGCGGGGTATCTGATGACTGGCAGGGTGTATGTATTGATGGCTCGGATCTTGTTCTTCCTATTCAGCTGACTTTTCAGGACCTGCCTTAATCTCTGTAGGTATTTGGCTGTGGCGGACTTCCTTGCTGCCTCCTTGCTGTTTCCGTTAGCCTGTGGCACCCCAAAGGTATTTGTAGCTGTCCTGAACATCTGCAATGTGGCCTTCTGGTAGTTCAACCCCCTCGGTTCTGATCATCTTCCCTCTTTGGGATACCATGCGAGCACACTTGTCCAGTCCAAATGATATTCCAATGTCATTGCTGTAGATCCTGGTAGTGTGGATCAGTGAGTCGATGTCTCGCTCATTTTTGGCATACAGTTTGATGTCATCCATGTAGAGGAGGTGACTGATGGTTCTTCCACTTCGTAACCAGTATCCGTAGCCAGTCTTTGTGATGATCTGGCTGAGGGGGTTCAGGCCTATACAGAACAGCAGCGGGGATAGTGCATCGCCTTGGTATACTGTATGGTGACTTGTGCAATTGGCTTTGAGTTGGCTTCCAGACTTGTTTTCCACAGCCCCATTGAGTTCTTGATGAAGGCTATTAGTGTCCTGTTGATCTTGTACATTTCCGAGCATTCCAGTATCCATGTGGCATTGAGTCATAGGCTTTCTTGTAGTCAATCCAGGTGGGGCACAGATTGGTCTGCCTGGTCTTGCAGCCTAGAGTGACTGCTCTATCAACCAGTAGCTGGTGCTTGGCTCCACTGGTATTACTACCCGTTCCCTTCTGGGCCTTGTCCATGTATTGAGCCATGTGCCTACTCATCTTAGCCGCTGTGATGCCTGACAGGAGCTTCCATGTTGTGCAGAGGCAGGTTATTGGCCGGTAGTTGGATGGGATTGTTCCTTTCTGGAGACCCTTCATGATCAGGACTGTCCATCCTTTGGTTAACCATTCTGGGCGGGTCCCATCCATCAGCAGTTAGTTAATTTGTGCTGCCAAGCACATATCCATATCCAAGCATCTCTAGGATCACTGTTGCTGTGGTGTACATCACTCATTAGTCTCGGTTAGGGCTTTAGTAGGGATAGTATGTTGTGCTGCATTCACATCTTCTAGCAGACTTTCAGAGGGTATACTTTGTTACTTAGCCTTGGCAATCTTGGTCGTTGTACTTAGGGGTCCAGCTGGGTTATGATCTTCAATCAATTTTCTGCTCTAGTCCTTGAATGTTTGTTAGTTCATCATGAGTCCAGTGGTGATGCAGTCATCTGTTAATGAGCCCAAAATCTTGTGGGTCAAGACAAAAGTAAAAGAAGAATTTCACAATGAAAAGAAACAATTTAAAGCAATACAAAGTCAACATTTTCTAAATCTAAGTCTTTGAATCAATGGCCGAATGATCCTCAAAATTAACTTTCCCTTTGCTTTCTGTTTCACAAGAACAGCTATGTATTTCCATCCATCCATCCATCGTCAACCGCTTATCCTGCGTACAGGGTCACGGGAGGGCTGGAGCCTATCCCTGCTGACATTGGGGCGAAAGGCAGGGTACACCCTGGATAGGTCGCCAGTCAGCTGTGTATTTGCCTTCTTAAATATATTTTGCATTACTTTTATGCATCACTGCTCCTCAGAGTTTAAGTTCTCATGTCACAGAGAGTCTGAACTGTTTTCATGCACTCACACTGAAAACTGCATCAGGATAATGTTGCCAATAACTCTTCTCATGTTGTGTTTTCTGAGTCAGGGTGAGAGATCTTTAACAGTAATTTAACATTGTTAATAAGTAAAAGGTTAATTTTTGGCATAAAGATCACTTACCTTTGTTTTTGCCTCAAGTCATTGATGTCTAATTCATTGTAATCTACCCTGCTAATTCACAAGGTTTGTATTCAATTTCTCATTTCAGAGTCATCTGCCAACAATTTTCTGACTCAGACTGACAAATCCAAGTCTGTTAGTCTTGGGGGGACTGTGACCCTCAGCGCCACGGGGAGTTCAAATATTGGTGCTGATCTCAGTTGGTACCTTCAGAAACCTGGACAGGCTCCCAAACTTCTTATATACAGTGCATCAACTCTCTTCTCTGGAACTCCGTCTCGATTCAGTGGCAGTAGATCTGGTTCTGACTACACTCTGACCATCAGCGGTGTTCAGGCTGAAGATGTTGGAGATTACTACTGTCTGGGCTACCATGGTAGTGGAGTGTTCACACAGTGATTTAGAGCCGTACAAAAACCTCCTTGAGTTTGACAGTTTAGCTGGTCCAGTGAACACAACGCAAGAATCATCAAGCAGAACCAAAATGAATCTAAAACAAACTCACATAAGCTCTTCCATATTCAATTGTAAAGGTATATTCTTGTTAGTTTATAAAGTCTCTGAGTAAGCTGGGAAACTTAAATTCTTGTTGGACTATAGCCACTGATACCAACAAGTGTTTAACAGTGTCTCTGATAGCTGCACAAAACAATTTAAAATAACAACAGAAACAAACATGTCAAATTTATTACTCCTTATTTTAAAAATGTAAATTATTTCATACTCAAAAGGTAGTATTTTCTATTTAAATGTCACAAAATCAGGAATGATGCTAAAATGATGTGTTGTAAAAGAAATACAAGGACACTTTCTAATTATAATACACAGTTTTATTTAATGATGGTTTAATATTCATGCCATTTTTAATGAGTGAAAAGTTTCACTTGGAATGAAATATTATTCAGTCTAATTTGATGCATATGCAGAAGATCAGTATTAGAAAGCAACATGGACACTAAAACACTGAGTAGAGAGCTGTGAAACTTGTAGAAATATGTGAACAGAGGAGATCTGTAGCTTCATTAACCCATCTGTATCAAAGAAGGACAGTCAGGGTGGGCCGCACCACACCCACTGGAGGAGAGAGAGGGGGAGAGAAAGACAAAGGAATGAGAGTGGAAGCTTTGTAATAGAGAAAAATGACATGCTGGTAATTTCTCATATTTTATCAAATAAAACAAAATAACTTCTGCAGCTGTTCATAAATCACTCAGTATCAGACCATCAGAAACACGATTCAAGTGTAAATGCAACTAAAAAGGTTAACTGATAATGATTATTGATGACATCTTCATATGTGTTTCATAATGTGTGACAGTGAATAACTCATCCCATTGAGGAGTTTCTTCTATTTAAACTGACAGAACTAAAACACTCATGTGAATACAGTTAAAACATTGTCATCTGTCTCTTTCACTTCCTTTTCACTACATGTAAAATGAATGAACCGTGAACACAAAGATAAGCTTCATTTACTGATAAAATCCTATTTGTGTTTTACAGGAATCCACTTCAGACTTTAAATCTAAAAATAATAATGAAAATAATAAATGAAAATTAAATAAATTACTGATTTTATGTTTTGAATATAAAAGGTTGTTCCTGACCAGATACCACTTTTAAAGATCTTCAACAGAGAACTTTAGAAAATAACTGAGCTATTCTCCGTTTCTTGAATTAAATAAAATAAAAAAAAACATTGATTTCATCAAAATTTCTTCTCAGATTTTGTGATCAGCCTTGTAATATAAAATAACCCAAATTATTACCAACATGAACTTGATCAGTCTGAGGGAATTTTAGATTAAATTCATATTTGCTATCTGTAAAAGTCTCTAGTATATTCAACGATGAGTTTGATTCCTCCACCAAAAGTCCACCACAGTGATCAAGTACTAAAACTGAAATGAACACAGAGCTGACAGTAACCTCACCAAGCACAAACCTTTTTGGAAACATTACTTTTAACTTCAAAGTATTATTTTTAACATTTTTAGATTGGTGCAGCAACCTTCTGAGATTTTGTCACTGCTTTATCACCCTGACCTTGGTTCAGAAAGACCGGGCCTCTTTCTTCATTAGTTTTGTTCATACTCCGATTCAGGAAATCATGATTTTTAACTACTATTTTTTCATCTGTAACAACCACCTACACCAAAACAATCTAGCTATTCTTGTGCCTCTGCCCCAAACTAGTGAATTCCATTATATTGTACCTATCAACTATATTTCTTCTGTAGAGGTTCACATTGGCTTCTCACTTTTTGTTATATTTTAGCGCACTGTCTGCCATAATCCTGACAAAAACATTATGACCTTGGGAACTTGGTACCCCTGGACTTGGTTGCTGTTCGTCTGGCACTTTCTTAATTCAACCATAATTAATCCAGGATTAACCAAGATTAATCCTTCTGTGGTAGACAAAAAGGTTTTACAAAATATGACACAATAAGTTTAATTTGAAGAATGTAAAATTATACTAATAATCTAATGGAGTCTGGTTTCGTAAAGATCCATATTAGAACAATGCCAAAGATATTTGTATGAATCTACAGCGGGAACAGATTTGACCTGCAACTGAAGTAAGCAAACATTTTACACAAACACAGATATTTGTTTGACTATTAAGGTGGTGTTTTGAATGACTGCTGTGCATCACTGCTCCTAGACCAATTTAAGATGAACCACTGAGTGACGTCTGTGCAGTCTGACAGTGAGATTAATCAAGATGATGATATTAGTGATTCCACTGCTGACTACACTGCTGTTTGGACTTCAAGGTGAGAAATATTGTGTTTCTTTTATGACCTGCCCACTGTTATATTGGAATCTAGGCTGTAAAAATGTCAGATAAATGTGTTATGATTTACACTTTCATTGTTTGGCATTGATTGTTTTACTTTACCTCACACTGACATTTTTTAAAGAAATGCATTTGAACTTTTTGTTTTTGTTTTTGTAATTTCCAGGTTCAGCAGCCAGTCCATCTGTGACTCAGTCTCCTGTATCAAAGTCTGCTAGTCTGGAAGAGACAGTCTCTCTGAGCTGCATAGCCAGTACAGGAGTTGATGATGATCTCAGTTGGTACCTGCAGAGACCCGGACAGCCTCTCAAATTGCTGTTTTACAAAATAAGTCGCCGTGAATCTGATACTCCAAGTCGTTTCAGCAGCAGTGGATCTGAACCTGAATTCACTCTGACAATCAGTGGAGTTCAGGCAGAAGATGCAGGAGATTATTACTGTATGGGTGTACACAGTGGCCCAGTGTTCACACAGTGATTTGTAGTCGTACAAAAACCTCCCTCAGTCAGACTGCAGAGACACTGAGCTGTTACAGCGGGAACCGACTGCAGCTGCTGAAGAGGAAGAGACTCTGACACAGACCACTGAACACAGAGCTGACAGTAACCTCACCAAGCACAAACTACAGATTTACACTAACATGTTAAATATATTTCAAGGTATTTATTGTTACATGTTTCAATGCAGTGTACACAGCAATGGGACAAATGAGAAGTTTGTAGACTTAATGAAGACAGTTTAATAAGGGCATTAAGACCAACTTTAAAATAAAATTCGAAAAATCATAACAACCAAAAAATTAGCATACAGTATTAACATTAATAACATTTTGAGCATTTTCAGTTATACAAACCCTAAAGCAGTACTGATGTATAAGGGGCTGAAAAATTAAGTGAAGGTGAAATGCAGTTTAACCTTAAATTATCTGAATAACTGCATGTGGTTGTCAGCAAATAAAAACAATGTTAAATTTTCTTTGCAAGTGAGATAGTTATGAGGTAAACAGATAAAAACATAACAAAATAATAAAAATGAATCTTATAGTCTGTCATGAGACATTCTGTAACATAGTGCGAAAAATGTATCCCCTTTCACATTATACTCAAACAAACCTCTATTTAAATTCTTTGTAGAGAAGATATGAAAATATATAAAATATAACTCAATATGTTCATCATCTACTCTTACTGTAGTGCAGTATTAGTTGATGCTTTCCATTAATATAATATCTGAATACTCTCCACTAAAAGATCATCACACTTTATCTTGTTATTAATTAGTGGAATATTTATTTGTGAAAAACATTTAACATTATGTTTTATAATGGAAAAACGGTTTTCTGACCTCTAACAGTTATTAGAGGTAGCTGCCGAGCTACTCACATTACTCTTTAAGATGTTGTTGTCCAGCACTTTACAGCAGGCTTGTTCTCTGATTTCAGTCAAACTCATTCTTGTTGGGTTGCTGTTAAACAGATAATCAACATATAAATATTACACCTTTTTCAACAAAAACATCAGTTAATTACAACAAAACAGCAGCTGCAACTGAGACACATTTGTGTGACTGTCTAAGATCCTAGATGCCAAAAAGAGAAACCTCAAATTTTAACTTTACATAAACAACTGGACTAGGTAGGTTTAAGTTACTCCAAGACGTTTTGCCTCTCTTCATCCTAGTGCAGTTTCCTTTGATTTTAAACCTCCTTGAATAACAGTAACCTGGCTGACTGAGAACATTCACAGACAGTATATTATATGTCTCTTAAAGTTTACACTTGTCATGATGTTGTTATGAATTGTGAAGGAAAAAATCAGGTGGCTTGTCACTTAAAACTCTGAGCAGGATCTAAACTCTGTGTGTGTTTTCACCAGTATGAGGAGGACAAAATGATTGTGAAAATAAGGTAATTCAAAATCGACTCAAATGTTGTGTTGATTCTTAGTGAGTCCAGCGTTGATGCAGTTTGCCAGCAGGGGACGCCGTTCATGTGGTAATGAGCCAAAAATCATGTGGATGAAGTCATGAAGACAAAAGTGAAAGAAGAATATTCAAAATGAAGAGAAACAATATAAAGCAACCCAAAGTTAACATTTTCTAAATGTAGTTCTTTGAATAAATGGCTGAATGAATCACCTCTGCTTTCTGTTTCACAAGGACAGATGTGTGTTTGCCTTCTTAAAAGTATTTTGCATGACTTTTATGCGTCACTGCTTCTCAGAGTTTAAGTTCTCATGTCACAGAGAGTCTGAACTGTTTTCATGCACTCACACTGGAAACTGCATCAGGATGATGTTGCCAATAACTCTGCTTGTAGTGTTGGGTTTTCTGAGTCAGGGTGAGAAATTTTTCACAGTTAGCCAACATTGGTAAATTCTCAAAAGTTCATATTTGGCATAAATATCACTTACCTTGCTCTTGCCTCAAATCATTGATGTCTAATTTATTGTAATCTACACTGCTAATTCTCAAGGTTTGTATTTCATTTTTCATTTCAGAGTCTTCTGCCAACAATTTTTTGACTCAGAGTGACAAATCTAAGTCTGTTAGTCTTGGAGGGACTGTGGCCATCAGCGCCACAGGGAGTTCAAATATTGGTGCTGATCTCAGTTGGTACCTTCAGAAACCAGGACAGGCTCCTAAACTTTCTTATATACAGAGCATCAACTCTCTTCTTCTCTGGAACTCCGTCTCGATTCAGTGGCAGTAGATCTGGTTCTGACTACACTCTGACCATCAGTGGTGTTCAGGCTGAAGATGTTGGAGATTACTACTGTCTGGGTGCCCATGGTGGAGCGTTCACACAGTGATTTAGAGCCGTACAAAAACCTCCTTCAGTTTGACTGAAGTGAAAACAACTTGCTGCAGGTGCAGAGGGTTGGTGAAGAGACTGTGATGAGGATAACTGTTCCAGTGAACACAACTCAAGAGGCATCAAGCAGAAGCACAATGAATCTAAATAAAACTGAAACAAACTCACACACACTCTTCCATATTACAGTTTTAAACTTATAATATTATAATATTATCAGTTCAGTAAATCTCTTTCTGAGTAAGTTGGGAAAGTAAAATTCTTGTGGGACTATAGACACTAATACAAATAAAATGTTTAACAGTGACTCTGATAGCTGCACAAAACAATTTAACATAACAACAGCCCTAACAGAAACAAACATTTCCAATTAATTTTAAAAATGCAAAATATATTTATACTCTAAATTTTTATTCATTTTCTATTTCAACATCACAAAGCAATAAAAATCCAAAGATCTCCTGCACTACATATTTATCCTCAGGAATAATGCTAAGATAATATAAAAGAAACACAAAAACAATAACTCATTATATTCCACTGTTTTTTAAGGATGCATTAATGTTCATACCACATTTATGATGAATGAAAAGTTTCTTTTGTCACCATGTAAAACTGTTACGATAACCAACATCCCATGATAATTATTTTAGGGAGAGTTAAACAATAGCTCTTCTTAGCTTTCTTGCTGACCGATACCACTTTCATAAAACAAGAAAGCAAACTATCTATCTGTCTATCAACATAATGAGACCACGATATGTTCTGTAAACATTTACTCTCTGCTCCAGACAAATGTTGCCTGATCACATATTTGAGCCGTGATTTTTACCTAATTAAAAATTACGTTTTGTCCATATTTATCTTCATAAAAATGTGTATTCTTTACTTTTCATTTCTACATAATGTTACATTTATTACCAATTCCAAAATAAAAGACATTGATATTTACATGATCAGCTTAATATTTTCCACTGAGAAGAGTATCAGTCGCAGTTATAAAACCACTTCATTCTTTCTGCTTTTTGGAAGATAAAAGACCAAACACTTCATAAAGATATTTTTCAGTGCAAGCTTTATTAGCAAAAACATTAATCATCAACTGGGTGCCCATGGTAGTGGAGTGTTCACACAGTGATTTAGAGCCGTACAAAAATTTCCTTCAGTTTCACTGTTTATCTGGTCCAGTGAAAACAACGCGAGACATCAAACAGAACAAAAATTAATCTAAATATATCTGAAACAAACTCACATTAGCTCTTCCATTTTCAGTTTTAAAGGGATATTCTTGTTTGTTTATAAAGTCTCTTTCTGAGTGAGCTGGGAAACTTAAATTCTTGTTGGACTAAAGCCACAGATATCAACAATTTAAATGTCACAAAGTAAAAAAAATAAAAAACAATGATTTGTACTATCACGTATACTGTTAAAATCAGGAATGATGCTTAGATAATGTGTTATAAAATAAATACAAGGACACTTACTAATTATAATACACAGCTTTATTTAATGATGGTTTAATATTCATGCCACATTTTTGATGAGTGAAAAGTTTCACTTGGAGTGAAATATTATTCAGTTTATTTTGAAAAGTTAAGGACACAAAGAAGAATATGCAGAAAATCAGTATAAGAAAGCAACATGCACACTAACACTGAGTAGAGAGCTGTGAAACTTGCAGACATATGTGAACAGAGGAGATCTGTAGCTTCATCAACCCATCTGTATCAAAGAAGCAGCATCATTTCTAGACAGGAAGTGTTGCTGAAGCTCTACTCTGAGCAGCGGTCAGGGTCCAGAGTTTGAGTGACAGGGCTCTGGTCATTCAGACTGGCCTCACAGCTCACTGAGCCCGCCTTCCTCCACTGGTCTGCAGGGAGGCTCAGGGTGCTGCTCCAGCTGTAGTGGCCGTCCCTCCCCCATGACCTCTAGGCTGTGTGACACCCCTGAGGAGCTGCTGCTGCCCCCCACCTTCCAGCCCAGCCTCCATGCTGAGGGGAAGCCCCCACTGGCCAGACACACCAGTGTGGCACTGCCCTGCTGCAGCTCCTCTGTGGAGGGGGGGAGGACAGTCAGGGTGGGCCGCACCACACCCACTGGAGGAGAGAGGGGGGAATGAGAGGGGGGGGGAGAAAGACAAAGGAATGAGAGTGAAGGCTTGTTAATAGAGAAAAAAGACATGCTGGTAATTTCTCATATTTTATCAAATAAAACAGAATAACTACTAAAAAGGCTAAGTGATGATGATATATGTGTTTCATAATGTGTGACAGTGAATAACTCATCCCTGTGAGGAGTTTCTTCTGTTTAATCTGACAGAGATGAAACACTCATGTGAATACAGTTAAAACTCATCTGTCTCTTTCACTTCCTTTTCACTACATGTAAAATGAATGAACCGTTAACACAAAGATAAGCTTCATTTACTGATAAAATCCTGTTTGTGTTTAACAGGAATCCACTTACACTTAAATCAAAAATACAGTTTGAATGTTCAAAATGTTCAAAATAATAAAATGTTCACCTGACATTATATTTCATTAAAAGTTTTACTTGACAGACTGTCTTTAAACAATTTTAGAGCAATTAAATCTTTCAATAACAAAAGAAAACATACAATGAATTAGTTATTTTTGTTTCTTTAAATTATATTCAATGAATGTTATTAAGTTTTGTCTCAGAGTGTGAGCTCAGCTTGGTTTAAGAAAATAACCAAAATTATCAACAACAAATAAGCACTGAACTTGATCTACGTGAATATTAGATTATAGTCACATTTGCAATATGTTGTATAAAATAAAAATATCTGGTACTTACAGTCAACGGTGAGTTTGGTTCCTCCACCAAAAGTCCACCACAGTGATACAAACTCATTAAGTGGCCGTACAAAAACCTCCTGCACTGTGAACAAGCATCTATACAATGAAAAAAATCTCTGTGTTTTCTAAATACACAGATATATATATATATACTTCATTGACTTTACAAAGCGTTTTTTAGTGATATGGATTGAAATTATTGCATAAATGAAAAATAAAAAAGTTTCTACACCTTGGTGAGGTTACGTCTCCTTTGTAACAAAGTATTTTCTCTCAGTTTTTATCTCTTGATATGGTCAAATGAACATGATACTTTTAAATAATTATTTCCAATACAAATGTTAGCAAACAGAGATGTGTTATTTATCTATAGTGAACCCTATCAGTAAATTAAAGACAGACAAACAGACATATCATACCAACCACATGACCACAATCTTAAGTTGGAATCCTCAACTGCACTTCTAATATAAATATTTTCTTCTGTTCCATTAACATCATAGATGGTGTAAATCCAAGCAGTATTCCTCCTGATTTTGTGTCCCATGTTGCCTTCAGTCTGTTGAGAGCGGAGAAATCATTTCCATAGAGAGGAGGCTTTGCATCGTCAGCTGATCCTCCAGTGAACTGAGAAGGTTTATAGTCCTGTGAGTTCAACACTGCAGGACTCAGATCTGTCAGTCAACACGGCAGAAACCACAACCACCATGACTCTCATCACCATCCTCATCTGGACGCTGGCGTGCTGCTGTTTTACAGGTTCATTCACTCAGCAACATTTCAGACATGATGTGCTGCCTTTTCTCTCATTTCTTTCTGCTGATAAATGAATGATTTGTTTTTGTGTGCAGGATGCAGCAGTCAGGTGTCTGTGACTCAGCCTCAAGTAAAGACATCTACTCCAGGATCCACTGTCACTCTCACCTGTAAAACCAACCAAGCTGTTTACAGCTCGGGTGGTTGTGAGCGTCTAAGCTGGTATCAACAGAAATCTGGACAGCCTCCAAAGCTCCTTATTAAATGTGTGAACACACGTGAATCAGGAACACCAGCTCGGTTTAGTGGCAGTGGAAGCAGCTCTGACTTCACTTTGACCATCAGTGGAGTTCAGACTGAAGATGCAGCAGTTTATCACTGTCAGAGTTACCACAGTGGTGGAGTGTTCACACAGTGATGTGCAGTTGTACAAAAACCTCCCTCAGTCAGACTGCAGAGACACTGAGCTGTTACAGCAGGAACCGACTGCAGCTGCTGAAGAGGAAGAGACACAGACCACTGAACACAGAGCTGACATTAACCTCACCAAGCACAAACTACAGATTCACAAAAACATGATTTCATGATTCATTACATACTTTCTATTAAGTCCATATGATACAGTGTGACAGACAGTGGGACCAACATCCCACTATGTGCATTTAAAAAAATATTTAAAAGAGACACCCAAATACACAAACATGTTTTATATAACATACTCAAATAATGAAAGGTGCATCAAGGAGGTGAAGCGGAAATGTCAGCAGAGACTGGAGAAACACCTCAACACCAACATCACCAAAGATATGTAGCAGGCCATCAAAACCATCACAAACTACAAAAGCAGGCGCTTCCCCATCATGTGTGAGGCCACATTACAAGATGAGCTAAACCCCTTTTATGTTTGCTTTGATGTCCTCAACAAAAAGTCTGCTGCAAAGTTGACTCAAGCGCCAGAGGACCACAGCAGATGTGAGGAGAGTCCTGCTGAGAGTAAATATGAGTAAATTAGTTGGGTATGATAACATTCGTGGCCGTGTACTGAAAACCTCTGGCAACCAGCTAGTTGATGTTATTACTGACATTTTCAACATCTCACTGTCTCAGGAGAGTGTTCCCACCTGCTTCAAGAAAACCACCATCATTCCTGTACCTAATAAGTCTGAAGTGTCTAGTCTGAACGACTACCGCCCTGTGGCACTCACCCCCATTCTGATGAAGGGCTTTGAGAAACTAGTTCTTCAGTACATAAAGAACAACATCCCAGCCTGCCTGGACCCTCACCAGTTCGCTTTCAGAACCAACAGACGACACCACCATCATCGGATGGATTTCACACAATGATGAGACTCCACATAGGAAAGAAATTGATAATTTGCAGAGTGGTGCTCAGAGAACAACCTACTGCTCAATGTCAGCAAAACTAAGGAGCTGATCGTTGATTTTAGGAAAAAGGGGACAAAGACGAACACTCCGGTCTACATCAGTGGTGCTGAGGTACAGCAGGTGAACAGGGAGAACGTGACATGGTCATCTCACATCTCCACGCTGGTGAAGAAACGTAAGAAACAACTGTATTTCTTGAGGAAGCTTAAGAAGGCCAAATTCCTGTGCCAAGTTTTTGTCAGCTTTTACAGAGGAGCAATAGAAAGCACCCTGACAGAAAACATCACAAACTGCCATGGGATGTGCACGGCCCAGGACTGGAGGGCTTTGCTGTGGGTGATTAAAACTGCTCAGAAGATCATTGGTACCCATCTCCTGAGCATCAGTGATATCTGTGAGGTGAGCTGTGTATGCAGAGCCCAAAGGATACTTAAGGACAGTACCCACCCAGCCACAGCCTGTTCTCCCTGCTGCCTTCTGGGAAGAGATATGAAGTTTTTGCTGTCACACCACCAGACTGCAGAGCAGCTTTTTCCCCCAAACTATCTGACTTTTAAACTCAAATTCATCCTCAGCACTGGTCCACTGACTATTGTTTATTTCTTTATTAATGTATATTGGGACAAAATAAACTTACCTTCCAACCTCTTATTTTATGCAATTTTAGAAAACCTAAAAGTGAAGGAGAAAGACCATGATGAACAGCCTGTTGTTAGTGTTCTTCCCCCAAACACAGTGCTGCGCCCACTGCCCGGTTCAAGCCTTCACTAAAATATTGTAAATAAGCTCTATTAAAGAAACAAAATATCTGGACCTCACTAATTTCGAACCCTGAACACAGTGATTCAAGCTGGTTAAAAACACAAAACCTCCACCACACAGCACTGAGCTCAAAACACACAAATGTGACAGAAAATGTTTTAAAAAGCTTTCTATCATTAATTGATGTCCTTCAAATTGCAAATTGATAACATGAATATTATGGTACAGTTTTTTTTAGCGTTTTGAAATATTTTGATAAAATGTCTAAATGTTGGAGGAAACTTAGTAACAGATATTTATCCAGTATTCATTTCCTTCATTCTTACAATGGAGAGTTTTCATACTGACACTTTGCATCGTCAGCTGATCCTCCAGTGAACTGAGAAGGTTTATAGTCCTGTGAGTTCAACACTGCAGGACTCAGATCTGTCAGTCAACACAGCAGAAACCACAACCACCATGACTCTCATCACCATCTTCATCGTGACGCTGGCCTACTGCTGTTTTACAGGTGAGGATGATTTTAAATATGAAATTCCAAAGTAATCAAATCACTAAAAGCATACATTAACTAATTGCTGGATATAACAAACGTGAACAGTTTACATCTTAAAATGCGCCAATTAATGTTCAGTGTTTTTCCTCCTTCTTTCAGGATCAAGTAGTGAAGTGACTGTAACTCAACCTGCTGTAGTCACATCTTCTCCTGGATCTACAGTCACTCTGACCTGTAAAACCAACCCAAAAGTTTATGTTTGGTCGGATGGAGATAGTCATCATAAATCACTAAGAATTATGCAACACAACTCTCCTGTAAATGTAATGGAAAAGTATCATTAATTATCATTCAATGAAACTTTTGTATCTACAGTAAATAATTTATCCCTGCAATGTTTGGCTTACTGCTACTTGCTACTACTACAACCTCCACTGTAGGACAGACTGCTACCATGGAATGGAATGGGAGAAATGAGGGACAGATGAAATAAAATGGTAAAATTCAGTGAAATGTGAATAACTGCACATGGTTGTCAGTAAGGAACAACAATGTTATATGTTCCTTGCAAAGGAAAGTGACACAGAACTAGATAAAAACACAATACAATAATGTAAACGAATCGTATAGTCTGTCACAATACATTCTGTGGTACATATGGTGCAAGGTTGGTTAACCTAATGCAGTGAAACCTATAAATGTCACCAAGCACATATTTCATATTCACTTAAAAAGTGGGAAAAATGGTGATCCTGTTTCACATTTTAGTTAAACAAACTTTTATTCATGAAGCAGTGGAGAAGACATGTGGCATTTGAGACCTGGATTCGATTCCTATTTTGAATTCCCATTCCTGCTGCAACACATCCACCACTGTGTCCCTGGCATGACACTTAACCTTTAGTTGCAGAGGAGTGTGACCTCTGACATATGTAGCAACTTCAAGTCGCTTTGGATAAAAAGCATCAGGTAAATGTATATTTAAATTTTTTGTTGAAAAGAGAGTCAAAAGATAAAATATAACTCAATATGTTCATCATCTACTCTTACTGTAGTGCAGTATTAGTAGATGCTTTGCATTAATGTAAAATCTGAATTCTGTCCCAAAAGATCGTCACAATTCATCTTGTTAGTAAATAGCGGAACATTTATTTGAGAAAAACATTTAACATTGTGTTTTAAAACGTAAAAACGGACTACACTTTAGTATCCTGGCCATCAACAGTTGTTCGTATCTTGCTGCTGAGCTAATCACATTATTCCTGAAGATGTGGTTGTCCAACACTTTACAGCATAAAACAGCAGCTCCAACTGAGACACATTCGTTTTTGTTGTGTATGTGTTGTGTGTCCTGAACCTGGAAAGCACTTTAGTCAGCTAGGGTTGTTTTTAAATGTGCTATATAAATAAACTTGAACTTGACTATCTGTTAATGAGCCCAAAATCATCTGGGACAAGACACAAGCAAGAGAAGAATGTTCACAGTGAAGAGAAACAATATAAATGTAGTTCTATGAATAAATGGCCGAATAATCCTCAAGATTAACTTCCCCTCTATGTCACCACTGCTTTCTGTTTCACAAGAACAGGTGTGTGTTTGCCTTCTTAAATATATTTTGCATGACTTTTATGCGTCACTGCTCCTCAGAGTTTAAGTTCTTCTGTCACAGAGAGTCTGAACTGTTTTCATGCACTCACACTGAAACTGCATCAGGATGATGTTGCCAATAACTCTGCTTGTGGTGTTGGGTTTTCTGAGTCAGGGTGAGAGAGCTTGAAAATGTGTCTGACATATTTTCATCTTTGGTCCAAAGACCAAGACTACACTTTGACCATCAGTGGTGTTCAGGCTGAAGATGTTGGAGATTACTACAGTCTGGGCTACCATGGTAGTGGAGTGTTCACACAGTGATTTAGAGCCGTACAAAAACCTCCTTCAGTTTGACTGTTTATCTGGTCCAGTGAAAACAATGCAAGAGTCATCAAGCAGAACAAAAATTAATCTAAATATATCTGAAACAAACTCACATTAGCTCTTCCATTTTCAGTTTTAAAGGTATATTCTTGTTAGTTTATAAAGTCTCTTTCTGAGTGAGCTGGGAAACTTAAATTCTTGTAGAACTAAAGCCACAGATATCAACAATTTAAATGTCACAAAGTAAAAAAAAACTAAAAATGATTTGTACTATCACGTATACTGTTAAAATCAGGAATGATGCTTAGATAATGTGTTATAAAATAAATACAAGGACACTTACTAATTATAATACACAGTTTTATTTAATGATGGTTTAATATTCATGCCACATTTTTGATGAGTGAAAAGTTTCACTTGGAATGAAAATAACATTCAGTTTAATTTGAAAAGTTAAGGACACAAAGAAGAATATGTAGAAAATTTTAGAAAGCAACATGCACACTAACACTGAGTAGAGAGCTTTGAAACTTGCAGACGTATGAGAACAGAGGAGATCTGTAGCTTCATCAACCCATCTGTATCAAAGAAGCAGCATCATTTCCAGAGAGAAAGTGTTGCTGAAGCTCTACTCTGAACAGCGGTCAGGGTCCAGGTTTGAGTGACAGGGCTCTGGTCATTCAGACTGGCCTCACAGCTCACTGAGCCCGCCTTCCTCCACTGGTCTGCAGGGAGGCTCAGGGTGCTGCTCCAGCTGTAGTGGCCGTCCCTCCCCATGACCTCCAGGCTGTGTGACACCCCTGAGGAGCTGCTGCTACCCCCCACCTTCCAGCCCAGCCTCCATGCTGAGGGGAAGCCCCCACTGGCCAGACACACCAGTGTGGCACTGCCCTGCTGCAGCTCCTCTGTGGAGGGGGGGAGGACAGTCAGGGTGGGCCGCACCACACCCACTGGAGGACAGAATGGGGGAATGAGAGAGGGGGGAGTAAGACAAAGGAATGAGAGTGAAGGCTTGGTAATGGAGAAAAATTACTTGCTGGTAATTTCCTATATTTTATCAAATGAAACAGAATAACTTGTGCAGCTGCTCATGTATCACTTAGTATCAGACTCATGTGAATACAGCTAAAACTTGTCATCTGTCTCTTTCACTTCCTGTTCACTACATGTAAAATGAATGAACCGTGAACACAAAGATAAGCTGCATTTACTGATAAAATCATATTTGTACTTACAGGAATCCAGTTTTTAAAATCAAAAAACATTTTGAATGCACGAAAAGAATAAACAAAAATTAAATTAAACTACTGATGTTATATAAGAGCACTAAAAGTTTTACTTAACAGAATGTTCCTTTGGACATTTTAAAACAATTCAAAGCTACCAAATAAAAAATAGAAAATCATAAAACAAATGAGTATTTTTTTGTTTCTTGAAATTTTAATTAAATGCAATACTGAATGAATATTGAGTTTTAACTCAGATTGTGAGATTAGCTTAATAAAATATTGAAAATGATTAACAACATAAAAACAATGAACATGATCATATTGTCGTTCAATGTCAAATAAATGTCATATTTGCAATATGTGTTATGAAATAAAACTTTCTGGTACTTACAGTCAACGATGAGTTTGGTTCCTCCACCAAAAGTGTACCACAGTGATACAAACTCATTAAGTGGCCGTACAAAAACCTCCTGCACTGTGAACAAGTATCTATACACTGAAAAAATGCTCTGGTTTTCTAATACACATAAAAAAAAAACATTTCATGGAATCCACAAAGCTTATACAACAATATGGATTAAATTTACGGTTTTAATGAAGTTTATTGATATTATTTTTTTTCACATATCTACACCTGACAGAGATACATTTACAGTCTTTTTGCAACAATGTAATTTCCTCCCCAGTTTTAAATGACTTAATCCATGGTTTAATTAACATAATGCATTTAGATGATAATAAAGACAATTTCATGTTAAGCAGACTGGAAATATGTTATTTAACTACAGTAAACCCTGTCATTAATTAAAAGCAGACAAATAAACATATCATACCAACTACAGTGGACACAAACTTATCCTTAAATCCTCAACTGCACTTCTAATATAATGTTGTTTTTCTGTTCCATTAAGATCATACATGGTGTAAATCCAAGCAGAACTTCTCCTGATTTTGTGTCCCACGTTGGCTTCAGTCTGTTGAGAGCAGAGAAATCATTTCCATAGAGAGGAGGCTTTGCATCGTCAGCTGATCCTCCAGTGAACTGAGAAGGTTTATAGTTCTGTGAGTTCAACACTGCAGGACTCAGATCTGTCAGTCAACACGTCAGAAACTACAACCACCATGACTCTCATCACCATCCTCATCTGGACGCTGGCCTGCTGCTGCCTCAAAGGTCAGGATTATTATGAACATAAAATTAGAAACTAATCAGATCACTAAAATCATTCACATACATGCAGTAATTGCAGGATTTAACATACGTGTCTACATGCTAATGTGAGTGAATTAATGTTCAATGTTTCCCTCCATTATTCAGGATCTAGTAGTGAACTGACTGTCACTCAACCAGCTGTTATCACATCTTCTCCTGGAGCCACAGTCACTCTGACCTGTAAAACCAACCCAAAAGTTAAGACATGGTCAGATGGAGATAGTAGAGTACACTGGTATCAGCAGAAATCTGGAGAAGCTCCCAAGTTGGTCATCAAACTGGGTAAAAATCCTACAAGTGAGTTTTCTTCCAGATTCTCTGGCAGAGGAGACGGAGTGAATGCTGAGATGACCATCAGTAGAGTTCAGACTGAAGATGCAGCAGTTTATTACTGTGAGAGATACGATGAAATAAGCAGTGCTTGGGTGTTCACACAGTCATTTGTAGTCGTACAGAAACCTCCCTCAGTCAGACTGCAGAGACACTGAGCTGTTATAGCAGGAACCATGTGCAGCTGCTGAAGAGGAAGAGACTCAGACCAATGAACACAGAGCTGACAGTAATCTCACTAAGCACAAACTACAGATTCATATTAATACATTGATTAAAAGACTTTTAAAATCTAAGGACACCACATCATATTCCATTCACATCTACTGTCAGCTAAACAGACTCTGACAGTAGCGACCTTCTCAGTTTTAGTTGCTGTATTATCACCCTGACCTCAGTTCAGAATAACAGGGCCTCCTTCTGCAACAGTGTTGTTTATACCCCAATTCAGTGAGTAAGGATTTTTGTAAAGCTGTTCTTTCATCTGCAGCAACCACCTACACCAAAGCAATCTGACTTCTGCGCTCATTCCTGATTATCCTCATCCTCATTATTACAAAGCATAGTATCACTTCTGCTGTTTGATCTGAACATTTCTCATTTTAATCCGCCCCAGCCTCAGTCTTGACTCTGGTGTAGCACAGAACAGCTGATATTTTCTCTCCTGCTCTCAGGATTAATTGTTTTGTAAACTTGGATTTGTGCTTGACTTTCACACACATGTTGTGTTATCATCTTCAAACTGAAGGTGACAAATCAACTCCAGTGAGGCTTCAACTCTTTTGTCTGTAACGCAATGTTAAATGGTCAATACTTACATAGTGGTCTTCCAACCACTCAAAACGCTTTTACACTTTGTCACAGTCACCTAATCAGTTTTATCAAAGTGTTTAACAATAAATAAATAAACAAGACATTATGAACTAATCGTCATATGAATACATTGTGTAAAATTCATAAATGAACCAACAATTTATAAATTAATTGAAGAAATGACTGAAACTTACCACACAATTATGAAAATAATTATATTTCACTTGATAAAGGCTTAAAAAGTTACTGATGTTGGCCTACTCTGCTGCAAATAACACACGAAGGCCTATGAATGCTAATGGTAGGAGGGAAATAAGGTTTAATGTCTGCTAACACTGAGGTTAAGTTTCATTCATGGCCTCTGTTTGAAAGTACAGTTTTATTTTTCTTTATATCCCAGCTGAAGCATCTGAATTAAGAGACTGATGTACATGATCATGGAAATAAAATACAAAATCAACCTCATGTCATTATAAAGTTGTTGTGAAGCTGGAGTGCCTGTATCTATTCATGAAGACAAAGGTATTACAGCAGAGAGGAACAGAAAACTATAGGTTTCCACATGTGCTTAATCAGTCCACAGGGAGATGTAGTCTGTACTTAATCCACCTCATCTCTCCCTTACACAACAGGTGTGCCCAAATGTATTTTGCATAACTTTTGTGCATCACTGCTCCTCAGAGTTTAAGTTCTTCTGTCACAGAGAGTCTGAACTGTTTTCATGCACATACACTGAAAACTGCATCAGGATGATGTTGCTAATAACTCTGCTTGTAGTGTTGGGTTTTCTGAGTCAGGGTGAGAGATTTATAACAACTAACCAACAACTTATCTAACCCTGTTAAATTCTCAATGTTCATTTTTTATATAAATATCACTTACCTTGCATTTTGTCTCAAATATTTTATGCCTAATTTCTTGGAATATACACTGCAAATTCTCAAGGTTTGTATATAAATTCTCATTTCAGAGTCTTCTGCCAACAATTTTTTGACTCAGACTGACAAATCCAAGACTGTTAGCCTTGGAGGGATTGTGGCCATCAGCGCCACAGGGAGTTCAAATATTGGTGGCACTCTTTATTGGTACCTTCAGAAACCTGGACAGGCTCCCAAACTTCTTACAAGCTCTGCAACAACTCTCTTCTCTGGAACTCCGTCTCGATTCAGAGGCAGTACATCTGGTTCTGACTACACTCTGACCATCAGTGGTGTTCAGGCTGAAGATGTTGGAGATTACTACTGTCTGGGCTACCATGGTGGTGGAGTGTTCACACAGTGATTTAGAGCCGTACAAAAACCTCCTTCAGTTTGACTGAAGTGAAAACGGCCTGCTGCAGGTGCAGAGGGTTGGTGAAGAGACTGTGATGAGGTTAACTATTCCAGTGAAGACAACTCAAGAGTCATCAAGCAGAAGCACAATGAATCTAAATAAAATTGAAACAAACTCACACACACTCTTCCATATACAGTTTTAAACTTATATTATCAATTCAGTAAATATCTTTGTGAGTAAGTTGGGAAAGTAAAATTCTTGTGGGACTATAGACACTAATATAAATAAAACAAACATTTCCAATTAATTTTAAAAATGCAAAATATATTTATACTCTAAATGGAGCATTTTCAATTTACATATCACAAAGCAATAAAAATACAAAGATCTCCTGCACTACATATTTATTCTCAGGAATGATGCTAAGATGATATAAAAAAAATACAAAGACAATAACTCATTATATTCCACTGTTTTTTAAGGATGCATTAATGTTCATACCACATTTATGATGAATGAAAAGTTTCTTTTGTCACCATGTAAAACTGTTACGATGACCAACATCCCATGATAATTATTTTAGGGAGAGTTATAACAATAGCTCTTCTTAGCTTTCTTGCTGACCGATACCACTTTCATAAAACAAGAAAGCAAACTATCTATCTGTCTATCAACATAATGAGACCACGATATGTTCTGTAAACATTTACTCTCTGCTCCAGACAAATGTTGCCTGATCACATATTTGAGCCGTGATTTTTACCTAATTAAAAATTACGTTTTGTCTATATTTATCTTCATAAAAATGTGTATTCTTTACTTTTCATTTCTACATAATGTTACATTTATTACCAATTCCAAAATGAAAGACAATGATATTTACATGATCAGCTTAATATTTTCCACTGAGAAGAGTATCAGTCGCAGTTACAAAACCACTTCATTCTTTCTGCTTTTTGGAAGATAAAAGACCACACACTTCATAAAGATATTTTTCAGTGCAAGCTTTATTAGCAAAAACATTAATCCTCAACATGATGCTCACATCTAGCTGCTGAGCTACACACATTACTCTCTAAGTTGTTGTTGTCCAACACTTTACAGCAGTGTTGTTCTCTGTTACACAAAGCTTTAGTTTCCTCTACAAACATTAAAAGTCATATTGATCAGAGCAGCAAGTGTGTTCCTCCTGCTCCCCACACACAGAGCTCCTGTCCTGGGCTTCAGCCTGCCCCTCTAACCCTTACACTGGCTCCTGTGGAGGGACTGGGTCTGGCTGTGGTCATGATGGAGGACCTTGCAGGAGTACAGCTCTCCTCCCATCCAGCGCTCCTTGCTCAGGCTCAGGGTGCTGCTGCTGCTGTAGCGTCCGCTCTTCTCCTCCTCTGAGCTGGTCAGGACTCCCTCTGTCACCTCTGTACCGTCCACCTCCCAGCTCACCACAGCTCCCTGAGGAGAGTAGCCAGTCAGCAGGCAAGCCAGCGTGGCCGAGCCCCCAGAAAGCTGCTCAGAGGAGGGGGGAAGCAGAGAGACTGAGGGCCTGACCATGGTGCCAGCTGGAAGGGAGAGCAGAGACACACAAGAAGCAGATCAACTTCCACTGTAGGACAGACAGCTGAACATGAGACACTTATGATAGAGGACAGAGGTTAACACTACTGTGGATCAGCTGTGTGCAGGATGCTGTGATCAGACAGAGGGGACGAGGTGAGGAATGAGAGGAAATGAGGGTTTAACAAATAAAACTTGATGTAATTTAAAGTTATAAATCTTCTACTGTAGCACTCATCATAAATCGCTAAGAATTATGCAGCATGACTTGCCTGTAAATTTAATTGAAAAGTATCATTACTTTTCATTCAATGAAATGTTCATAAGTACTTAATAAAGTGTGACAGTAAATAATTTTCCCTGAAAGGATTGTCTTTTTATATTTCTATACAGTTACAGACTTTGTCATCTGTTTGTTTCACTTCCTTTTCACCACTTTAAACAAACGAACTGTGAACGCAAACTGCAACTGTACAGGGAGTTCATATAAACCTATTTTTTTAAGGCATATTAGATTTAATTTAAACCCCTGTTAAAATGTAAAAATAAAAAAATAAGATATACCTGATATTCACTATTTGACTATTAAAATGACCCCAGACAAACTGTACAACTACATTTTGTTAAGCAAAAATTCAATTACTTTTGCCATATGTTTAACCTTAACATTATCAATAACATTAAAATAACATTTATCTCTGCACAAGGTTTATTCCAAAGTCTAATATCAGACAGCTTGATAAAAAAAACAATATATATATAACTAAAAAGGTACCCAAATTATTAAAAATCTCTGGTACTTACAGAACATGATGAGTTTGGTTCCTCCACCAAAAGTCCACCACAGTGATACAAACTCATTAAGTGGCCGTACAAAAACCTCCTGCACTGTGAACAAGCATCTATCCACTGAAAAAATCTGCTTTTCTAATAACACTTGCACAATGAAATTTTATTGAATTTACAAAGCTTATCTAATTATTTGGATAGAATTAATTTATTAATGAACATTTTCACTTGTTTTGCTTCACTTTTCTGCACCTGACAGAGAAATGATCACAGTATGCTTGAAACAAAGTAATTGTTATTAGAGTTTCATATCAGCTGACACATAGCTGAAAGCACATTACACTTTTAAATAATAATAATTTACAAGGTCAAATTTTAGCAGAACATAGAAACATTATTTATCCACAGTTAACTGTGTAAGTAAATTCAAGGCAGACAAACAGACATATCAAACCAACCACATGGACACAAACTTATCCATAAACCCTCAAAGGCACTTCTAATATAATTATTTTCTTCTGTTCCATTAAGATCATAGATGGTGTAAATCCAAGCAGTATTCCTCCTGATTTTGTGTCCTATGTTGCCTTCAGTCTGTTGAGAGCAGAGAAATCATTTCCATAGAGAGGAGGCTTTGCATTGTCAGCTGATCCTCCAGTGAACTGAGAAGGTTTATAGTCCTGTGAGTTCAACACTGCAGGACTCAGATCTGTCAGTCAACACAGCAGAAACCACAACCACCATGACTCTCATCACCATCCTTATGTGGACGCTGGCCTGCTGCTGTTTTACAGGTTCATTCACTCAGCAACATTTCAGACATGATGTGCTGCCTTTTATTTCTTCCCTGCTGATAAATGAATGATTTGTTTTTGTGTGCAGGATGCAGTGGTCAGGTGACAGTGACTCAGCCTGCAGTAGTGACATCTACACCAGGATCCACTGTCACTCTCACCTGTAAAACCAACCAAGCTGTTCACAGATACAGCGATGGAGATGAGGGTATGTTCTGGTATCAACAGAAATCTGGACAGCCTCCAAAGCTCCTAATAAGGATATGTGAAAACGCTTCAATCAGGAACACCAGCTCGGTTTAGTGGCAGTGGAAGCAGCTCTGACTTCACTTTGACCATCAGTGGAGTTCAGGCTGAAGATGCCGCAGTTTATTACTGTAAGAGTTTGCACAGCATAAACAGTGCTTGGGTGTTCACACAGTGATTTGTAGTCGTACAAAAACCTCCTTCAATCAGACTACGCAGACACTGAGCTGTTACAGCAGGAACCGACTGCAGCTGCTGAAGTGGAAGAAACTCTGACACAGACCACTGAACACAGAGCTGACATTAACCTCACCAAGCACAAACTACAGATTCACACTAACATGATGGTCTATTTCATGATTTACATTCTTTCTATTAATTCCAGATGATACAGTGTGACAGACAGTGGGACCAACATCCCACTATGTGCATTTAAAAAAATATTTAAAAGAGACACCCAAATACACAAACATGTTTTATATAACATACTCAAATAATGAAAGGTGCATCAAGGAGGTGAAGCGGAAATGTCAGCAGAGACTGGAGAAACACCTCAACACCAACATCACCAAAGATATGTAGCAGGCCATCAAAACCATCACAAACTACAAAAGCAGGCGCTTCCCCATCATGTGTGAGGCCACATTACAAGATGAGCTAAACCCCTTTTATGTTTGCTTTGATGTCCTCAACAAAAAGTCTGCTGCAAAGTTGACTCAAGCGCCAGAGGACCACAGCAGATGTGAGGAGAGTCCTGCTGAGAGTAAATATGAGTAAATTAGTTGGGTATGATAACATTCGTGGCCGTGTACTGAAAACCTCTGGCAACCAGCTAGTTGATGTTATTACTGACATTTTCAACATCTCACTGTCTCAGGAGAGTGTTCCCACCTGCTTCAAGAAAACCACCATCATTCCTGTACCTAATAAGTCTGAAGTGTCTAGTCTGAACGACTACCGCCCTGTGGCACTCACCCCCATTCTGATGAAGGGCTTTGAGAAACTAGTTCTTCAGTACATAAAGAACAACATCCCAGCCTGCCTGGACCCTCACCAGTTCGCTTTCAGAACCAACAGACGACACCACCATCATCGGATGGATTTCACACAATGATGAGACTCCACATAGGAAAGAAATTGATAATTTTGCAGAGTGGTGCTCAGAGAACAACCTACTGCTCAATGTCAGCAAAACTAAGGAGCTGATCGTTGATTTTAGGAAAAAGGGGATAAAGACGAACACTCCGGTCTACATCAGTGGTGCTGAGGTACAGCAGGTGAACAGGGAGAACGTGACATGGTCATCTCACATCTCCACGCTGGTGAAGAAACGTAAGAAACAACTGTATTTCTTGAGGAAGCTTAAGAAGGCCAAATTCCTGTGCCAAGTTTTTGTCAGCTTTTACAGAGGAGCAATAGAAAGCACCCTGACAGAAAACATCACAAACTGCCATGGGATGTGCACGGCCCAGGACTGGAGGGCTTTGCTGTGGGTGATTAAAACTGCTCAGAAGATCATTGGTACCCATCTCCTGAGCATCAGTGATATCTGTGAGGTGAGCTGTGTATGCAGAGCCCAAAGGATACTTAAGGACAGTACCCACCCAGCCAGAGCCTGTTCTCCCTGCTGCCTTCTGGGAAGAGATATGAAAGTTTTTGCTGTCACACCACCAGACTGCAGAGCAGCTTTTTCCCCCAAACTATCTGACTTTTAAACTCAAATTCATCCTCAGCACTGGTCCACTGACTATGTTTATTTCTTTATTAATGTATATTGGGACAAAATAAACTTACCTTCCAACCTCTTATTTTATGCAATTTTAGAAAACCTAAAAGTGAAGGAGAAAGACCATGATGAACAGCCTGTTGTTAGTGTTCTTCCCCCAAACACAGTGCTGCGCCCACTGCCCGGTTCAAGCCTTCACTAAAATATTGTAAAAAGCTCTATTAAAGAAACAAATATCTGGACCTCACTAATTTCGAACCCTGAACACAGTGATTCAAGCTGGTTAAAAACACAAAACTTCCACCACACAGCACTGAGCTCAAAACACACAAATGTGACAGAAAATGTTTTAAAAAGCTTTCTATCATTAATTGATGTCCTTCAAATTGCAAATTGATAACATGAATATTATGGTACAGTTTTTTTTAGCGTTTTGAAATATTTTGATAAAATGTCTAAATGTTGGAGGAAACTTAGTAACAGATATTTATCCAGTATTCATTTCCTTCATTCTTACAATGGAGAGTTTTCATACTGACACTTTGCATCGTCAGCTGATCCTCCAGTGAACTGAGAAGGTTTATAGTCCTGTGAGTTCAACACTGCAGGACTCAGATCTGTCAGTCAACACAGCAGAAACCACAACCACCATGACTCTCATCACCATCTTCATCGTGACGCTGGCCTACTGCTGTTTTACAGGTGAGGATGATTTTAAATATGAAATTCCAAAGTAATCAAATCACTAAAAGCATACATTAACTAATTGCTGGATATAACAAACGTGAACAGTTTACATCTTAAAATGCGCCAATTAATGTTCAGTGTTTTTCCTCCTTCTTTCAGGATCAAGTAGTGAAGTGACTGTAACTCAACCTGCTGTAGTCACATCTTCTCCTGGATCTACAGTCACTCTGACCTGTAAAACCAACCCAAAAGTTTATGTTTGGTCGGATGGAGATAGTCATCATAAATCACTAAGAATTATGCAACACAACTCTCCTGTAAATGTAATGGAAAAGTATCATTAATTATCATTCAATGAAACTTTTGTATCTACAGTAAATAATTTATCCCTGCAATGTTTGGCTTACTGCTACTTGCTACTACTACAACCTCCACTGTAGGACAGACTGCTACCATGGAATGGAATGGGAGAAATGAGGGACAGATGAAATAAAATGGTAAAATTCAGTGAAATGTGAATAACTGCACATGGTTGTCAGTAAGGAACAACAATGTTATATGTTCCTTGCAAAGGAAAGTGACACAGAACTAGATAAAAACACAATACAATAATGTAAACAAATCGTATGTCTGTCACAATACATTCTGTGGTACATATGGTACAAGGTTGTTAACCTAATGCAGTGAAACCTATAAATGTCACCAAGCACATATTTCATATTCACTTAAAAAGTGGGAAAAAATGGTGATCCTGTTTCACATTTTAGTTAAACAAACTTTTATTCATGAAGCAGTGGAGAAGACATGTGGCATTTGAGACCTGGATTCGATTCCTATTTTGAATTCCCATTCCTGCTGCAACACATCCACCACTGTGTCCCTGAGCATGACACTTAACCTTTAGTTGCAGAGGAGTGTGACCTCTGACATATGTAGCAACTTCAAGTCGCTTTGGATAAAAAGCATCAGGTAAATGTATATTTAAATTTTTTGTTGAAAAGAGAGTCAAAAGATAAAATATAACTCAATATGTTCATCATCTGCTCTTACTGTAGTGCAGTATTAGTAGATGCTTTGCATTAATGTAAAATCTGAATTCTGTCCCAAAAGATTGTCACAATTCATCTTGTTAGTAAATAGCGGAACATTTATTTGAGAAAAACATTTAACATTGTGTTTTAAAACGTAAAAACGGACTACACTTTAGTATCCTGGCCATCAACAGTTGTTCGTATCTTGCTGCTGAGCTAATCACATTATTCCTGAAGATGTGGTTGTCCAACACTTTACAGCATAAAACAGCAGCTCCAACTGAGACACATTTGTTTTTGTTGTGTATGTGTTGTGTGTCCTGAACCTGGAAAGCACTTTAGTCAGCTAGGGTTGTTTTTAAGTGTGCTATATAAATAAACTTGAACTTGACTGACTGAGATACTGGACGCCAAAAAGAAAAGATTTTTACTTCACATGAACCACTGGACTGGGTTGAGGATACTGCAGGATGTTTCGCCTCTCTTCAACCTAGTCCAGTTGCCCTTAATTTTAACCTTCCTTGGATAGCTATAACCTGGCTGACTGAGAACATTCACAGACATATGTTACTTAAAGTTTATACTTATGATGTTGATATGAAATGTGAAGGGAAACATCAGGTGGTTCATCACCAAAAACTCTGAGCAGGATCTGAACTCTGTGTGTGTTTTCACCAGTATGAGGAGGAAAATGTAAAAATAATGTAAAAATAAGGAAATTCAAAATCGATCAAATGTTGTGTTGGTTTATCAGTCCAGTGTTGATGTAATTTGTCAACGGGAGATTATCTGTTAATGAGCCCAAAATCATCTGGGACAAGACACAAGCAAGAGAAGAATGTTCACAGTGTTGTTCACAAGAGAAACAATATAAATGTAGTTCTATGAATAAATGGCTGAATAATCCTCAAGATTAACTTCCCCTCTATGTCACCACTGCTTTCTGTTTCACAAGAACAGGTGTGTATTTGCCTTAAATATATTTTGCATGACTTTTATGCATCACTGCTCCTCTGAACTGTTTTCATGCACTTACACTGGAAACTGCATCAGGATGATGTTGCCAATAACTCTGCTTGTAGTGTTGGGTTTTCTGAGTCAGGGTGAGAGAGCTTGAAAATGTGTCTGACATATTTTCATCTTTGGTCCAAAGACCAGGACTACACTTTGACCATCAGTGGTGTTCAGGCTGAAGATGTTGGAGATTACTACAGTCTGGGTGCCCATGGTAGTGGAGTGTTCACACAGTGATTTAGAGCCGTACAAAAACCTCCTTCAGTTTGACTGTTTATCTGGTCCAGTGAAAACAATGCAAGAGTCATCAAGCAGAACAAAAATTAATCTAAATATATCTGAAACAAACTCACATTAGCTCTTCCATTTTAGTTTTAAAGGTATATTCTTGTTAGTTTATAAAGTCTCTTTCTGAGTGAGCTGGGAAACTTAAATTCTTGTAGAACGAAAGCCACAGATATCAACAATTTAAATGTCACAAAGTAAAAAAAAACTAAAAATGATTTGTACTATCACGTATACTGTTAAAATCAGGAATGATGCTTAGATAATGTGTTATAAAATAAATACAAGGACACTTACTAATTATAATACACAGTTTTATTTAATGATGGTTTAATATTCATGCCACATTTTTGATGAGTGAAAAGTTTCACTTGGAATGAAAATAACATTCAGTTTAATTTGAAAAGTTAAGGACACAAAGAAGAATATGTAGAAAATTTTAGAAAGCAACATGCACACTAACACTAAGTAAGAGCTTTGAAACTTGCAGACGTATGAGAACAGAGGAGATCTGTAGCTTCATCAACCCATCTGTATCAAAGAAGCAGCATCATTTCCAGAGAGAAAGTGTTGCTGAAGCTCTACTCTGAACAGCGGTCAGGGTCCAGGGTTTGAGTGACAGGGCTCTGGTCATTCAGACTGGCCTCACAGCTCACTGAGCCCGCCTTCCTCCACTGGTCTGCAGGGAGGCTCAGGGTGCTGCTCCAGCTGTAGTGGCCGTCCCTCCCCATGACCTCCAGGCTGTGTGACACCCCTGAGGAGCTGCTGCTACCCCCCACCTTCCAGCCCAGCCTCCATGCTGAGGGGAAGCCCCCACTGGCCAGACACACCAGTGTGGCACTGCCCTGCTGCAGCTCCTCTGTGGAGGGGGGGAGGACAGTCAGGGTGGGCCGCACCACACCCACTGGAGGACAGAATGGGGGAGGAGAGAGAGGGGGGAGTAAGACAAAGGAATGAGAGTGAAGGCTTGGTAATGGAGAAAAATTACTTGCTGGTAATTTCCTATATTTTATCAAATGAAACAGAATAACTTGTGCAGCTGCTCATGTATCACTTAGTATCAGACTCATGTGAATACAGCTAAAACTTGTCATCTGTCTCTTTCACTTCCTGTTCACTACATGTAAAATGAATGAACCGTGAACACAAAGATAAGCTGCATTTACTGATAAAATCATATTTGTACTTACAGGAATCCAGTTTTTAAAATCAAAAAACATTTTGAATGCACGAAAAGAATAAACAAAAATTAAATTAAACTACTGATGTTATATAAGAGCACTAAAAGTTTTACTTAACAGCATGTTCCTTTGGACATTTTAAAACAATTCAAAGCTACCAAATAAAAAATAGAAAATAATAAAACAAATGGTATTTTTTGTTTCTTGAAATTTTAATTAAATGCAATACTGAATGAATATTGAGTTTTAACTCAGATTGTGAGATTAGCTTAATAAAATATTGAAAATGATTAACAACATAAAAACAATGAACATGATCATATTGTCGTTCAATGTCAAATAAATGTCATATTTGCAATATGTGTTATGAAATAAAACTTTCTGGTACTTACAGTCAACGATGAGTTTGGTTCCTCCACCAAAAGTGTACCACAGTGATACAAACTCATTAAGTGGCCGTACAAAAACCTCCTGCACTGTGAACAAGTATCTATACACTGAAAAAATGCTCTGGTTTTCTAATACACATAAAAAAAAAACATTTCATGGAATCCACAAAGCTTATACAACAATATGGATTAAATTTACGGTTTTAATGAAGTTTATTGATATTATTTTTTTCACATATCTACACCTGACAGAGATACATTTACAGTCTTTTTGCAACAATGTAATTTCCTCCCCAGTTTTAAATGACTTAATCCATGGTTTAATTAACATAATGCATTTAGATGATAATAAAGACAATTTCATGTTAAGCAGACTGGAAATATGTTATTTAACTACAGTAAACCCTGTCATTAATTAAAAGCAGACAAATAAACATATCATACCAACTACAGTGGACACAAACTTATCCTTAAATCCTCAACTGCACTTCTAATATAATGTTGTTTTTCTGTTCCATTAAGATCATACATGGTGTAAATCCAAGCAGAACTTCTCCTGATTTTGTGTCCCACGTTGGCTTCAGTCTGTTGAGAGCAGAGAAATCATTTCCATAGAGAGGAGGCTTTGCATCGTCAGCTGATCCTCCAGTGAACTGAGAAGGTTTATAGTTCTGTGAGTTCAACACTGCAGGACTCAGATCTGTCAGTCAACACGTCAGAAACTACAACCACCATGACTCTCATCACCATCCTTATGTGGACGCTGGCCTGCTGCTGTTTTATAGGTTCATCCACTCAGCAACATTTCAGACATGATGTGCTTCCTTTTCTCTCATTTCTTTCTGCTGATAAATGAATGATTTGTTTTTGTGTGCAGGATGCAGTGGTCAGGTGACTGTGACTCAGCCGGCTCTAGTGACCTTTACTCCAGGATCCACTGTCACTCTCACCTGTAAAACCAACCAAGCTGTTTACAGAGACAGTGATGGAGATGACGTTCTGCACTGGTACCAACAGAAATCTGGACAGCCTCCAAAGCTCCTAATAAAATATGTGAAAATGCTTCAATCAGGAACACCAGCTCGGTTTAGTGGCAGTGGAAGCAGCTCTGACTTCACTTTGACCATCAGTGGAGTTCAGGCTGAAGATGCAGCAGTTTATTACTGTCAGAGTGTACACAGTGGCCCAGTGTTCACACAGTGATTTGTAGTCGTACAAAAACCTCCCTAAGTCTGTTACAGCAGGAACCGACTGCAGCTGCTGAAGAGTAAGAGACTCTGACGCAGACCACTGAACACAGAGCTGACAGTAACCTCACCAAGCACAAAGTACAGATTCACACTACATAATGGCCTATTTCACAATTTTTATATTCTTTCAATTCCACATGACAAGGTGTGAAACTTACACAGCTATGATATCCAACGTCCCACTATGTTTATTTTCAAAGAATTTATATAAAAAAAAACATTAAACTTAGAAACCCAAATACACATTAACATGCTTGCAGACTAGTACCATTCTCATACCTATTTTTCGGAAATACTTTTATTTGATTTTTTCTGATCAATACCACTCTCATTTCTGTCCATTAAATATAAAAAGTAAACTACATAATCATACAAATAATTGAATTTATCAAAATATTCTCAAAAATCTAATGACACGTCACGTTCAACATTTACTCTGCTGGAGACATTTAATGCCTTATGACATATGAAGTTTTGTCTTTTATCTTCAATAAAACATGTGTTCTTTCATCATCTTGTCGACCATAAAATATCACTATTACCAATTAAAGTCAGAAAACAATTTAATTCTTCTCCTCCTAATAAGATAAAAGAACAAACATTTCATAAAGATTTTTATCAGTGCAAGCTTTATTAGCAAAAACATCAATCATAAACATGACAGTTATTAAGCACGCTCACATCTAGCTGCTGAGCTACACACATTAATCTCTAAGTTGTTGTTGTCTAACACTTTACAGCAGTGTTGTTCTCTGTCACACAAAGCTTTAGTTTCCTCTACAAACAGTAAAAGTCATATTGATCAGAGCAGCAGGTGTGTTCCTCCTGCTCCCCACACACAGAACTCCTGTCCTGAGCTTCAGCCTGCCCCTCTAACCCTTACACTGGCTCCTGTGGAGGGACTGTGTCTGGCTGTGGCCATGATGGAGGACCTTGCAGGAGTACAGCTCTCCTCCCATCCAGCGCTCCTTGCTCAGACTCAGGGTGCTGCTGCTGCTGTAGCGTCCGCTCTTCTCCTCCTCTGAGCTGGTCAGGACCCCCTCTGTCACCTCTGTACCGTCCACCTCCCAGCTCACCACAGCTCCCTGAGGAGAGTAGCCAGTCAGCAGGCAGGCCAGCGTGGCCGAGCCCCCAGAGAGCTGCTCAGAGGAGGGGGGAAGCAGAGAGACTGAGGGCCTGACCATGGTGCCAGCTGGAGGGGAGAGCAGAGACACACAAGGAGCAGATCAACTTCCACTGTAGGACAGACAGCTGAACATGAGACACTTATGATAGAGGACAGAGGTTAACACTACTGTGGATCAGCTGTGTGCAGGATGTTGTGATCAGACAGAGCAGAGGAGGTGAGGAATGGGAGGAAATTAGGGTTTAACAAATAAAAAAAAAAACCCTTTTTATTTTTATAGATTTAATTTAAACTAATGAATCCTCATGGCACTCATCATAAATCGCTAAGAATTATGCAGCACAACTCTCCTGTAAATGTAATGGAAAAGTATGATTACTTATCATTCAATGAAATGTTTATATCTGCCTAATAACATGTTACAGCAAATAATTTATAGCTGCAATGTTTGTCTTATTAAAAATGTAATGTCTCTTACAGATAAAGACTTTGTCATCTGTCTGTTTCACTTCCCTTTCACCACTTTAAACTAACGAACTGTGAACACACACAGCAGCTATACTGGATGTTCAAAAAAACTCACTTATTAGTTTTGAAGTCATTTTAGATTTAATTTTAAATACTGTTAACAATTAGAAAAAATAAGAATATTTATTTTTTTCAGTATTAAAATGTTCCTCAGACAAATTGTACAACCATTTTTTGTTGAGCACAAAATTAAACTGAAAATTTAAAACAAGAAAATTTCTTTCAGCATACATTTTAGCATAACATTGTCTTTAATGCTAAAACAATAATAATATCTGCACAAGGATCATTCCAAAGTGCAATATCAGCCATCTCCTTGGTAAATAACAAAAAATATCCACAACATATAAGGTGCCCAAAAGAAATTCTTGTTTAATCACGTTATTCTGCAAAATGTAGTGTTAAATTTTATGTTGTAGAAATAAAAAATTCTCTGGTACTTACAGTGAATTATGAGCTTGGTTCCTCCACCAAAAGTCCACCACAGTGATACAAACTCATTAAGAGGCCGTACAAAAACCTCCTGCACTGTGAACAAGGATCTATCAACTGAAAAAACTCTCTGCTTTTTGCAATTGCACAAAAAAGTTATACTTTATTGAATCTAAAAACGTTTTTAAATGATATGGATTGACTTTATTGTAAAAATCATGTTTATTTCATCACTTTTCTTCACCTGAGAGAGAAATGATTAGTCTGCTTGTAACAAAGTCATTTTTCACACTTTTATGTGAGTTGTTACACAATTAAATGTACATCATACTTTTAAATAATAACAATTTACAAATTCACGTTTAGTAGAACTTAAATATGTTAATTATCTACAGTAAACCCTGTGCATATATTAAAGGCAGACAAAAAGACATATCATACAAACCACAGTGGACACAAACTTATCTTTAAATCCTTAACTGCACTTCTAATATTAATATTTTCTTCTGTTCCATTAAGATCATAGATGGTGTAAATCCAAGCAGTATTTCTCCTGATTCCCATGTTGCCTTCAGTCTGTTGAGAGCAGAGAAATCATTTCCATAGAGAGGAGGCTTTGCATCGTCAGCTGATCCTCCAGTGAACTGAGAAGGTTTATAGTCCTGTGAGTTCAACACTGCAGGACTCAGATCTGTCAGTCAACACGGCAGAAACCACAACCACCATGACTCTCATCACCATCCTCATCTGGACGCTGGCCTGCTGCTGTTTTACAGGTTCATTCACTCAGCAACATTTCAGACATGATGTGCTTCCTTTTCTCTAATTTCTTTCTGCTGATAAATGAATGATTTGTTTTTGTGTGCAGGATGCAGCGGTCAGGTGACTGTGACTCAGCCGGCTCTAGTGACCTTTACTCCAGGATCCACTGTCACTCTCACCTGTAAAACCAACCAAGCTGTTTACAGATACAGCGATGGAGATGAGGGTATGTTCTGGTATCAACAGAAATCTGGACAGCCTCCAAAGCTCCTAATAAAATATGTGAAAACGCTTCAATCAGGAACACCAGCTCGGTTTAGTGGCAGTGGAAGCAGCTCTGACTTCACTTTGACCATCAGTGGAGTTCAGGCTGAAGATGCAGCAGTTTATTACTGTAAGAATTACCATGAAATAAATAATTCTGATGTGTTCACACAGTGATTTGTAGTCGTACAAAAACCTCCCTCAGTCAGACTGCAGAGACACTGAGCTGCTACAGCAGGAACTGACTGCAGCTGCTGAAGAGGAAGAGACTCTGACACAGACCACTGAACACAGAGCTGACAGTAACCTCACCGAGCACAAACTACAGATTCCCATTAATACATTGATCAAAAGACTTTTAAAAATCTAATGACACCACATCATGTTCCATTCACATCTACTGTCAGCTAAACAGACTCTGACAGTAGCGACCTTCTCAGTATTAGTTGCTGTATTATCACCCTGACCTCGGTCCAGAATAACAGGGCCTCCTTCTGCAACAGTGTTATTTATACCTCAATTCAGTGAGTAAGGAATTTTGTAATGCTTTTCTTTCATCTGTAACAACAACCTACACCAAAGCAATCTGACTTCTGCGGTCATTTTTGAGCCAAAATATTTTACTTTTGATAAACAGGTCCAAGCACGTGCACACATAGACATCAAAAGGGGCTTCAGCACCTGCCTTTTTCTTCCTCAAGAGAAGGTGCCCTTTTTTCTGGGATGCTTTTTTGTTTTTTTTTGTTTTTTTAATAAATGAATATATAGTATATTTATTCCTGTTTGCAACAGATTCCCTGTCAAACAAATGTGTTTATTGGGAAAAAAATCTAAATCTATCAGGTCGGAAGATGAAACTTTGGAGTTCCGATGCGCTCTCTCTCCCGCTCTCAATTCAATTCAATTCAAATTAGCTTTATTGGCATGAATGTGTAACAACAATATTGCCAAAGCATCATATATACAACATAAGAACAATCAACCCCATACATTTCACAAGTAATTAAAGCGTAAAGTAATCAAAGCGTATGTGTGTTTGTGTTAAAAAAAGAAGAAGAAATATTAAAAATTAAAATAAAATAAATAAATAAAATGGTAAGTGTGTGTGTGTTAAAAAAATAAAAAAATACATAAAACAGTGTGTGTGTGTGTTGAAAAAATATATATCTATATTAAAAATTAAAATAAAATAAATAAATAAAATGGTAAGCGTGTGTGTGTGTGTGTTAAAAAATATAAATATATATAAAAAATAAAATAAAATAAATAAATGAAACAGTAACGTGTGTGTGTATATATTAATAGACAAAAAAATTAAAATAAATAATAAATTGATTTAAAAAACAAACACAAAAAAAGAAATCAGTATCAAATGTAAAAACAAAACAATTACTAAAATATCAAATAATCAAAACAATAATAATTTGAACATCTGTACAATTATTTATCAGTCTGAGGTTCCACTGGTTCTACTCACTTCATGGCATGAGGAGACATATTTTGCAGCAATTATTTCACATTTGGGCATTTCTCTTAGTATATAGGGGAGTTTCTGTGTGTCTGATATGAATTTGAATTCGGGGTATATTTGGAAAATGTCTGCAAAGTGTTTTTGTCTTAGTGTTATATTTGGGGCATGAGGTTAGAAAGTGCAGCTCTGTCTCTACCTGTCCCCTGTCACACTGGGAGCAGAGTCTCTCCTCTTGTGGTAGCCAGCTCTGTCTGTGGCGACCATTTTCTATGGCCAGGCTGTGTTCACTCAGTCTGTATGTTGTCAACATTTTTCTTAGTTTGGGTTGGGTTTTCTTATCTTTTTAGGGTCAGATAACATTGGAATTTACTTTGTGTTTTGGTCATTTCTTTCCAGTATTCAATATATTTTTCTTTCTGCTTGCTGATAATTTGGTTTGGTCTGCTTGAGTTGGTATTGCTGTCCTGAGGCTGTTGGGGACTTGTTACTGCAGAGAGCCTCAGGACCAGCTGGCTGAGGGGACTCTTCTCTGGTTTCAGCTCCTGGTATGTTAGGGCTTTGTGATGATATGTCTGGGGGTTAACTGATTTTAAGTGATTGTAAAATTTAAGTGATCTTTTCTGTATTTTTCGTAGGAGGGGGTATTGGCCGAGCTCTGCTCTGCACAGGTTATTTGGTGTCTTTCTCTGCACCTGCAGGATGCGCTTACAGAACTCAGTAAGGAAAGATGATTGTTTTGTCCCCTTTGTCAAATTCAGTATGAAGTTTTGGCCCCCAGATTTTGCTACCATAAAGAATTATTGGTTCTAGTACAAATTGGAAAATTTTAAGCCAGATTTCAATATGAATATATATTTAATGTTTCTTTTATTGCATAGAAAGCTCTCCTTGCTTTGTCCCTCAGATCTTTCACAACCATGTGGAAGTTCCCTGTGTATGTAATGTTGAGGCCAAGGTAAGTGTAGTTTTTTGTGTGTTGTAATTTAGTGGTGTCTAAATAGAAAGTGTGTGTAACCTGATTTCTGTATTGTTTCTGAAAGATGATTATCTTAGTCTTTGCTGTGTTTACTGTCAGGGCCCAGGTCTGACAGAATCTCTGCTGGAGATTAAGGTGCTGCTGCAAACCTTCTTTAGTAGGTGAGAGCAACACTAAGTCATCTGCATACAGCAGACCTCTGATCACTGTGTCGTTCAGGAGGAGGCCAGGTGCCGTGGAACTCTCTAATTGGTTTGCTAATTCATTGATATATAGCTTGAAGAGAATTGGACTGAGATTGCATCCCTGCCTCACTCCCCGGCCCTGGGAGAAGAACGCTGTTTGTTTGTTTCCAATCTTTATGGCACATTCACTTTTTGTATACATGTTCTTAATCAAATCATATGTTTTCCCTCCAATGCCACTTTCAAGTAGCTTATAGAAAAGGCCCTCGTGCCAGATGGAATCAAAGTCTTTTTGGAAGTCAACAAAACAGGCATATACCTTTCTTTTCTTTATGTTTAATTCTTGATCAATTAGAGTCTGGAGTTTAAATATATGGTCCGTTTTGCGGTAATTTGGTAAAAAAAACAATTTGGTATTTATGCAGAATATTGTGGTTATCAACAAAGTTGACAAGTCGTTTATTAATGATGTTGCAGAATATTTTTCCAGGTTACTGGATACACATATTCCTCTGTAGTTATTTTGGGTCATATTTATCTCCGGATTTATGAATTGGGGTTATTAAACCTTTGTTCCAGATGTCTGGAAAAGTTCCAGTTGCTAGAATAGTACTGAATAGTTTTAGTATAGCCGATCTGATTTATGGTCTGAGTATTTGATCATTTCGTTGAGGATTCCATCAATACCACAAGCCTTTTTCCTTTCAGGGACTGGATGATTTCTGTTAATTCTTGTTCTGTTACAGGGTAATCTAAAGTGCCACGCCGGCTGCATCATGGGTTTGATCTCCACGCCCGCTGCGAGACCTGCCTTGGTCCTCAGCACGCTGGCCTGGCTCTGACTCCCTGGACCTCAACTCCCTACTGTGCACAGCTGCCCGTGGAGGAGAAGCGACGGTGGGTCGATGCCTTCGCGGCCCTGCAGGAGGAGGAGGCTGACGATGCTAGCTGGGCTAAGCCAGCAATGCAGGGCTTGAGTCCTCTGACTCTGCTCCCTCCATTGCTGGCTCCCCGCCAGGCTCTCCCCTCTTCCCGCTGGAAGACCTGGAGTTTGATTTTGAGTTGGATAAGAAGGCGGCGTCGCTAGCTCCTGCTCCACTTCCGTCTTCAAGCTTGCCGTCCTGCGGGGCTCTCTTCCGGGATCTCCTCGACATAATCAAGACGGCTGCTGAGCGCAAAGGCGTGCCGATGCCTGCTGAGCCTCCTGCACCTGCTCCTAGCGCCATGCTCGGCGACATCTACCAGCCAGAGCAAGTGTCCAGACAAGTCCCTGTGTGGCCCCTTTTCCCA